AGTTCTTTCTAGCTTATTTATTTTTTTAACTTAGTACTGTTAATTCTCTCTCTCAGCCTGGACAACATGGTGAAACCCTGTCTACAAAAAACTAGCCAGGTATGGTGGGCCACACCTATAGTCCCAGCTACCAGAAAGTCTGAGGTGGGAGGATGCAGTGAGCCTGTCATCACACCACAGCACTACTGCCTGGGCGACAGTGAGACCCTGTCTCAAAAAAACAAAAAACAAAACAAAACAAAAAGTACCTCTGAAAATTATTTTAAATATTGAGTTGAGCAAAAATGTTCATGTTAAACATTTTGGCTGTTTTTCCTAAAATGTTTTATACAGAGAGCTAAAAATCAATGTATATAGAATGTATTCACCATTGAGGAGATACTAAATAAACTTGACCATCTTCACACTGAGTACTAGGCAAGAAAGATTAGTACCATGGAAAAAAATGCTAGTTTTGTATTCGGATCTGGGCTCAAACCTTAGCTCTGCTATTATAGCTCTGTAACTGTAACATATTCTTTAAGCTTGTTTTGTCATGTTACATGGTGATAAAGAAAAATACTTGTTACAGGGTTGTTACAGGGTTGTAGTAAGGATAAAACAAAGTGAAAACCTCTAGCACAGTTCCTGACTCTGCACTTTTTCTCAATGTTTGTTAAGTTACTCTGAAAACATTTTAAACATTGTAATTTTCAGATAATTAATTACATGTATGTTGAGCAAAAGTGAATACTTTTCTTATAAAATTAACTTCCTGGCTGGGCCAGTGCTGTAGCTCATACCTATAATCCCAGCACTTTGGGAGGCTGAGGTGGGTGGATCACTTGAGGTCAGGAGTTCGAGACCAGCCTGACCAACATGGTGAAACCCTGTCTCTCCTAAAAGTAACAGAAATTAGCTGAGTGTGGTAGTGGGTGCCTGTAATCACAGCTACTCTGTAGGCTGAGGCAGGAGAATCACTTGAATCTGGGAGGCAGAGGTTGCAGGGAGCCGAGATAGCACCATTACAGTCCAGCCTGGGCAACAAGAGGGAAATCCTATCTCAAATAAATAAATAACTCCCGGCCGGGCGCGGTGGCTCAAGCCTGTAATCCCAGCACTTTGGGAGGCCGAGACGGGCGGATCACGAGGTCAGGAGATCGAGACCATGCTGGTTAACACGGTGAAACCCCGTCTCTACTAAAAAATACAAAAAATTAGCCAGGTGAGGTGGCGGGCGCCTGTAGTCCCAGCTACTCGGGAGGCTGAGGCAGGAGAATGGTGTGAACCCGGGAGGCGGAGCTTGCAGTGAGCTGAGATCCGGCCACTGCACTCCAGCCTGGGTGACAGCGCGAGACTCCGTCTCAAAAAAAAAAAACAAACAAACAAACAAACAAAAAAAAACAAAAACTCCCCCATTATTCAGGTGTTGTAAATTATGTAAGGTATCTTTGATGGCGTGTCTTTGAAGGAATTATGTCTTTTTAGAGGAAAGTGACATGTAATTTTAAGAAGTATAGATCCAAGGTTAATAAACTCACACTTCACACACACACATACAGACTACAGAAGAGAATGAGCCAGTCTCATCTACAACTATATTAAACTTGTGTCTTTGTGTGCACATTTGATAACAAATTTTGAATTACCTTGAATTTTCAAGTTTCTAGTTTTTCTCTTTAGCTGAGGACTTCTTGAAACTAACTGTTTTGGGGGAGAGAATATTAATTTTTAGAATCCAGGCATGGCCCAAACAATTCTCTCTGAATAGAAAGCAAACTGGAATCCTGGCAAAGCAGTTAATTCTCAACATTACTTGTAAACATGACAAACAATAAAATAAATTTTATAACAACTTGTAAGAGCTTATGTTTTCACATCTAAATTTTCAATGGTAAGGTTCCTTACAATCTCAAGTGTTAAAAGACAAGGTATCAAGCACACTTAGGTTACAAGGAGAAGCAAAAAGATTGATTTGAGCAACCTGGATCACTTTCAGTAAGGGAGGAGGATCTCTGGAGAATGTAACAAAGCTGAATTTCAAGAAATCTGGTTTCTAGTTTGGGCAAGTCAGTAAATCTGAGCTTTCTTTCTCACCCCTTAGAAGTAACGGCATTTTCCTTCCTTCCTCACAAAGCTGACTCATGAAAGTACTTTAAAGTTAAAAATGTTATACACTATGTTCTTTAATCAGCACTAATAACATTAATATTGATCGGGCAGAAGGTACGGTGATCATGCGGGTGGGGACCAGCAAAACTGGGAATTGGGAAATCCAGGTTCTCGGCCCAACATTTGCACCTGCTAGTTCGTGATGCAAGGCACCTCACTTATTCAGGTCCCCATTAAACTAGGTTTAATAAAGTGAGTTTGCCTAAACCTCTTCCTAGCTCCAAGACTAATTTTAAGGTATTAATTTGAATCCAAGGTCTAAAATATTTGAGCTCTCATTTAGAAGTCAGCCACTGCAAAGGGTAAAGACAGCAATCTTGTATGAACAAAGTTAAACATAACGTGCTAGACAGAGGTCTATGCTAAGCCATGCAGTAGCCAAAAGGTCCACCATACCACCCTTCATTTGGAAACTGATGTTAAGGTGCCACTGGTACACTTCCAAATGCTCTTAAAATGTTTAGGTTCATATTAAAATAAAAATGGATATTGTAAAATGAGAACCAGAAAAGCTCCAAAATTATACACAGGCCTAAGGGCAAAAATACCCCAAAAGACTACACAGTGACAATATTTTCCAACTTTTGCTTTTTTGTTTTTAAAACAAAGCTGATGATTCTGAAATCAGGTCAAGTCTATCACTTTTTTTGTTGATGTTAAATGCACTAACACAGATTCTTCAATTATACTTTGAAACAACAGCATTTCCCTAAGTCAGGACTTTTTTATTGCAAAATTTAACAAACCACCAAACTCAAGTTTAATTATTTCTGCTTTATTATTGGTCATGAATAAAGACTTCTTTTAAAAAATAATTACAAAGAGAATTTATGACTAAAATATACTCGGTAACCAACGTGCTCTGAAATTAATAATTTGAAAATGGCAAAAAAAAAAAAAAAAAAAAACCGGCCCACACATATTAACTTCACTCTTCAATTAGGGGCAATAAACAAGGTCAAAATTAGTTTAAACAACATACTGAGTAAGAAAAAAGTTGTGAAGTCCCAATGCCTCCAAAAAACTGATAGAATGTGCTTAATATATATATCCCCACATGGTAACATAAAAAATCCAAGTTTTCCAGTAAAAATGTTCTGTTCATGTTCCAATACCTAAATCTGGGAAAACAAATTCAGGCAGATGAGATAAGAATGTCACCACAATAAAATAAAGTCATCAAAACTTAGTGAATTAAAGTTTAAAAGGTAGAGAAAAATAACCTAATTTGACCACACAGTAATTACTTCCAGAAGACAAAAGATCCAATCCAGGTAAAATAAATCTTTATTTTATTGTATATTTTACCTGATCCTAAAGAAAATATTCTACGTGAGTTGATGAGATACATCGGTCAAGTTTTATGCCAAGAAATTATGCATACTATAACTCTGAAAGAGCTATCTAGACTCCTTACCAAAAGGCCAGCATAACTTTCAGAGTAGAGATCGTGAGTTACCACAGATGCTGATTGAAACAGAGCTAACAGCAGCTCTTTCTCCTCATTCCCACCCCGTGTGTAGGAGTATGCAGTCCCATGCCACCACCAGTTGGAGGATGATCTAGTCTGGAGACAAAACGGTGTAGAACAAAACCCTTTCCACGGTCCCAAACCTCTCTTTAGAACTCTAATTAAAGATACTTCCGTTTCTCATACAACTTGGAATGAAGAGGAAGCAACAACTGTTAAAAACATTTAAAAACTAAGCCTTTATCTATTTATTTAGAAAACACACTATGCAAAGAAGCCAATTCCTTACATTAAAAATATTTATTTGCAACAGCTCTCCTTTTCAAGGCCTCAACAGATTGGACTAAACCACACCCCTCCATAAATGGCACATTCCATACAATAGCCTGGAGGATGGCATAGGACGATTCCACCGACCGCTGGGGGAATAGCAAACTTGTTGAAATTCCGAGAATGGAGTCTGATGGTTACCCGAACCTAGCCCTTTTATTACTAAAGTCACTCGGGGACAAGAGGGTTACAAAAATATCCCGAGACGCGTACGCGGGTGAGAGTGGAACGAGAACCACACGGGATTTGGGCTGTGCTGTTAACCCGCACCTCCCTGAGTACGGACATTTCCCCGAGGAAGGACATTTCTAGTCGGAGAGAAAGAGCGAACTTTGGGGTTAACTCTCTCAAAACTCCGAGGTGGGGAGAGAGGCAGCAGCCCATTATTTTCCAGGATCCAGTCCCGAACTCTCACTTCTGCCCGGGGGGAAAAAAACGGGTCCCGCCCACGCTCGGCCCGATCCGGGAGGCGGGGCCTGCAGCGACCCCGAAGGACAGACGCGGGGCCGGTTGGGTGTGCTGCCCCTCCCCCTTTGCCTGGAACACCCCCGTCCGCTAGAGAAAAAGGGCTCAGGGCCCCCACCCCCGCGCCAGTAGCGGGGGGAAGGGGCAATACGGGTGCCTCCGCCCCTCCTCGCTGAAGGTGGGGAGTGGAGCTCGAGTCCGCCCGCCTCCCAGCGCTGGCTCCAAGGGGACGGCCCCGAGGAGGTGGGGCCTCTTGGGGGCGCTGACTTCACACCCCTCCCCCTCCGGCGCTGGCGGTTCAGGGACACCCCGCCCGCTCCAGTGCGGTGGGTGGGGGAGGCAGCTGAGCAGACCGGAGCCCTGCAGCAGCGCGGGGCGGGGAGGGGCGCGCGCACGGGCGCGCAGCCGCCACCCCCGCGCGCCAGCAGGGCCCCCCACGCGCAAGGGTGCGCGCGGGCCCCGAAAGGGAGGAGGCCGCGCGTGGCACCGGGGATGACCGACTCTAGCCTTCTGTCCCCCACTCTTTTCACCACTCGCCCCCAGCCCCCTCCAACCCGCTCCAGGCCTCAGACTCCGCACTGACCTGACAGGCCGCGACATGTTCGCTGTCGAAACAGGACCGAGTCGAGAAGCCAAAGACCAGGACCCCCCCCACCCCGCGCGCTCGGCGCCCCACCCCCCCCGAACTTCAGCCGATGGGACCGCTGCTGCCGAACCCCGAGCTGCTGGCTCCTCAAACTCCGCTGCTCTTTGGTTCAGGGCTCCTGGAACAGACGAGCCCCCCGCTCCCCCGTCTCTTCAAAATGGATGAATCAAACCAGCCGAAAATGCGCCAAAGCCGCCGTGCAACCAAACCCACTAGGGTTTGTGCGCTCCTCCCCAACACGCCTGCTCATTGGAGACTTCTGCCAGATGCGCCCAGATCATTAGTCCGTTTGAATCATCACGTCTTCCAGGCCCCGCCCTACTCTCTGACAGGCTCCACCTTCACCGTGGGGTCCTGTTAGTCAAGATGCTCTGAGAGCGCACGGCCGCAAAACAAAAATGGTCGCTGCTTAGCCCGCCCCCTGGCTTCCACTCCAGAGTTGCAGATTCGTCTGGGGTCGTATCTTAGAAAGACTAGAAAAAAAGATTTGTATAGAGTTCAGCGTTGCTCAGTGTTAGTTTAATGGTGTTTCATCTCGTCCGCCTTGATAACCTAGAAAATCCTCTAATAGCAAAACCTGTGGGGTAGGTAGCAGATTCGTCACTAAGGGGCTGCTACAGAATTGGAGGGAAATTCCTTAGGTTCAAAAAATTTGACCTTAAACCTGCAAGCCCCTTACCCTGGCTTCAGCATTAGCCCTCAGGGACCTAATCAGGCTGCTGGAGTAAAGAGGCAGGATCATAATCAATGAATATCTTCACCCCCAATTTCCATTCTCCATTCTGGACCTTGAGATCCACTTCAGGGTCATTAAAGTCCCATTCTGGTACATTACTATTTTAAGAGTCAGGTGTACAGTAACTAAAAGCATGAGCTCAGGGGCTACAAGGTATTTCAGTTGGAATCCCAGGTCCATTACTTAATAGTGGTATAACTTTCCTTCTCTGTGCCTCAGTTTCCTCATCTGTAAAATGGGAAACAAGGGTACCTAACCCCATAGGCTTATTAGTATTAAATGAGTTGACATATCTATCAAAAGCCTTTAGGATAGTCTCTGGCTCACAGTAAGTGCTATGTAACTGTTAAATTCAAGTTTTAAAAGATGATTCCATCCCTGGGTAGAGATGGGTGGAGCTGGCCCAAGACCCTTTCAGTTCTATTGATTTACCCTTGTACTTTGAAAAACAAAACAAAACAAAGACTCTTCGAAGTCATATAACTGAAAGTAATGCACATCATTTCACTTAAATCCGTGAGTATTTGCTGGATGCCTAACACTCTCAAAGGCAGAGCTCAGGATTCCTATATGAATGGCTAAGACTGAGTCTGCCATCGAAAATAGACGTCAATCCCTACCACAGTCAAACCCACCATTTTTGTTTTGTGACCATGCGCTCTCAGAGCATCTTGACTAACAGCATCCCAGGGTGAAGGTGGAGCCTATCAGAGAGCAGGGCGGGGCCTGGAAGACGTGATGATTTAAACGGACTAATGATCTGGGCGCATCTGGCAAAAGTCTCCAATGAGCAGTCAGTTAATAACCAACTGAAGATACACTTTCCAAACAACAAAAAAACACACCACATCTGCCTCCTGAAAGTCTCCCTTTGTAAAATCTGGCTTCTCAAAAAGAAGAGAATAGCACAGTCCACCAGTGAAGTATTAAACAAGTTAATATGTTTTGTCTCTTCCATGTCATTCCACCCTCTGTCACCCATATTTTTAATTTTTATTTTTTTGAGATGGAGTGTCACTCACTGTGCTGCCCAGGCTGGAGTGCAGTGGCACAATCTCTGCGCACTGAAACTTCCACCTCCCGGGTTCAAGCGATTCTCCTGCCGCAGCCTCCCAAGTAGCTGCAATTACAGGTGTGTGCCACGATGCCCGGCTAATTTTTGTATTTTTTTGTGAAGACAGGATTTCACCATGTTAGCCAGGCTGGTCTCGAACTCTTGCCCTCAAGTGATCTGCCTGCCTCGGCCTCCCAAAGTGCTGGGATTTACAGGCGTGAGCCACCGCACCCGTCCCCCACATTTTTTTTTTAAATTGTGGTTAAAAAAAAATACATAATACATAACATAAATATGCCATTTTAACTGTCTCTAAGTGTACAGTTAAGTGGCATTAAGTACATTCACATTGTTATGCAACCATCACCACGATTCAACACCAGAACTTTCCCAGACTGAAATTCTGTACCCATTAAACACTAAATCCCCACTTTCCCCCTTCCCCACAACCCCTGGCAGCCACCATTTTACTTTCTGTGTGTATGAACCTGACTGCTCTAGGAATCTCATGTTTGTGTAATCATACAGTATTAATCCTATTGTGATTGGCATATTTCACTTAGCATAATGGCATCCAGGTTTATCCATGTTGTAGCAAGCGTCAACATTTCTTTTCTCTTAAAGATCAAATAATATTCCATTGTATGTATATACCACATTTTGGTTATCCATTCATCCATCAGTGGACACTTGGGTTGCTTCCACCTTGTGGCTATTGTGAATGATGCTGCTGGGCAAGTGGGGGTACAAGTATGTTTGAGTACCTGCTTTCCTTTCTGGATATATACCCAGAAAGGGAATTGCTAGATCATATGGTGATTCTGTTTAATTTTAAAGAACTGCCATATGGATTCCCTATCAGCTGTATCATTTTACACACCTACCAGCAATGCACAAGTGTTCCAATTTCCCCATGTCCTTGTCAACATTATTATAGCCATCCTAATGAGTGTCCATGTATGGGTTTTTTTTTTTTTTTGTTTTTTAGACAGAGTCTAGCTCTCTCACCCAGTCTGAGTGGCATGATCTTGGCTCACTGCAGCCTCCATCCCCGGGTTCAAGCAATTCTCCTGCCTTAGCCTCCAGAGTAGTTGGGATTACAGGCATGCACCACCGCACCTGGCTTTTTGTATTTTTAGTAGAGATGGAGTTTCACTATGTTTGCCAGGCTGGTCTCAAACTCCTGACCTCAAGTGATCCACCCACCTCAGCCTCCCAAAATGCTGGGATTACAGGCGTGAGCCACCGTGCCTGGCTCCATATATGTTTTGACTAAGTGTATTTTCATCCCTACTATTGTCAGAATGCCAGGGCAGAAACTTGGGTGACAGAGTTATCACCAAGTGGCTTTGTTGGAGGCTCTTTTATTAGGCCAAATTGTTATTATTTTAGTAAACATCATTATTTGGTATTGTGAGATGGGGCAGAAGAATTCTTGTTACTCATTTATTAAGTAGTGGACAGAAATGACCATAGTCAACATTTGCAGGCAGGTGGAACGTTCGGAATAGATCTTCAGGGTGTTGGTCTGACAGTGCAGTGCAAGGCCAATATACAAATGGCCACTGAATGAAGACTCTCCCCCTTCCAAGGTCAGGCTCATATCCTACCTTTCTCTTCACTGCAGCTTCAGCTAACATCTTCCTTCCATTTGCTCATTTATTCACTTAGTATTTCAATCAACATCGTCTCTCAGGGAGGAAATAAGACTTGAATTTCGAGTTTACTTTTTAGTGGACAAATACAGAACTATGGCCAGTAGTGCCAAAAGAATGTGGAATGTGGTCTCCAAGGTCATTTCCCTCTAACCTGTACCCTAGTGATCTGCCCTGTGTACCTGTCTTAACCATCACCACTTTGCTGGAAACTGAAGAAGGACGCTGATCATAGGATAGGTCAGGTTTTAGAAGCACTATCTGATAACCCTGAAGGTACAATACTTGTAAAAAACTAGGAGAAACTATGGAAACAGAAAAGCCTCAGGAGACAGAAAAGGCAGAGTTAGTCCTTTTCCCTGGAAATGAAATCTCATGGCCTTTTAAACACAGTGTTTAATTTCCCCCTATGATTTTAGTTGTTTTGAGAAGTACCATTTTCCTTCTCCTTCACATATGTTAAAGGGTAAGAACTGGCAGTGCTGGGATGGTAAGACTGATGAGTTTTCCATATACCCAACAAAACCCCATTTCCGTCAAGGGCTACACTATAGCAGCTGAGAGCTTCATAAAAATTTTTCAGCATTGTGTGCTGGGCACTTCCAGTTCTGTGAACTCATGAAAGTCAACTAACCAGGTCTAAAGACAGACACTGCTTCCACTGAGCACAGGACCACAGAAGGGTACCACTCTTTGGAGATGCTGCCAGGAAGTTAAAGAAAGCTTCTCCAAGTCTTATTTTTTAAAAATTTTTTATTTTTAAATCTTCTACCTCCAACCTGCTGGCTCTCTCTGTACTACCACTCTAGAAGACAGGATGGGATAGAAGAACTGTGTGTATTAGGTCAGTCTCTCTACAACCCCAGAGGCTGAGTAGCCTGCTTGGAGATAGATCCATGATTAAAGAGGAAATTTTCCCTTGTCTTCATTTTCTCAAGTGTATATTTCTTTGCTCCAGATTCCCATCTTCCTCTCTACTTTGAATATTAAGAGCTAAGCTTAGGTCAATTTGTACTATTAAAACAATAAGGATATACAGCTAGATGTCCAGTTTAAATTGAAGAAAAATACCACAAGAATAACTTACTGTTTTACTGGACACAAAAAAAAATCCATAGAAAACTTGCCATTGTAACACTGAGGGAGAGAGAGCTTTATCTATGTAAACCACTGACAAATATTCTGAGGTGAACACTGCTGAAAAGGAAGGCATCAAGGTAGAACAAAAACAGCACTGAACTTGTAATCACGATTATCTGTCTCCGAGCTCTATAATTTACTACCTTATGACCTTTAGCAAATTTCAAACTCCCTGTGCCTCAGCTCCTTCATCTGTGAAATGGGGATAATTACACTGGTCCTTACCTACTTCACAAGGTTAGCATGATAACAAGAAAAAAAAAAAAATGGGATCACTTGCGAAAGTAGTTTGTAGACTGTGAAGCACTGTGAGAGGTAGAATGGGATCACCTTCTCTTCACCAAAGGAAAACCCCGAATTCCAACAGCTGACTTATTCCTCCAACAGCATACAACCATCCCTAAATACTGGTAACAGTTAAAAACTGCTCAGCAGGGCGCGG